CTAAAAGGGATTGAACAGGGCGAAGCCCTTACAATTTTAACACCATTTCTGTCAACTTTGAGGAGTTGTGCTATTGATGTCTAAAAGTCGCTCTTTCTCTCTCTCTCTCTCTATGTCTAGGCTTCAAAAAAGAAAATCGAATTGTTTGCCAATGAAACCGACATGGGCAGGGGAACCAAAAGGTCCCTCCGGTTGGAAGACTCTCCAATTGCCCGCCATAAACCAGTGGAAGACTGACATGACCAATGATTTGCGCAGTGGTTCAGTTACCAGGCATTTCCAAAAGACAAAGCAAGGGTAGACTAATTGACACCCTGATTACTGTTTTTTGGTGCCAGCCTGGATCTCTTGAATGTTAGATTCCATGCAGAGATTAGGATGCATACTCTGTATCCCAGTCATCATGGAAGTGGATCGTGGGTGATACCTTTTTTTGGAGCAGGCCTTTGTGGAGGTCTTAGCTCGTGCCGCACAATGTTCCCATTTCGCACTGCCAAGAGATTTTGCCTTGGAAAGGCATCCATCAGTGTGGGCTCTCAAGCTCATGACAGCCCAGTCCTGGGCTTAGCATCAGAGCTGTCCTGTCCAGTCAGCTTGGCTTTTCAATGGTCCGGTGGAAGAACTGCCCAAAGTGGCGCTAAAGCAGTTTCTCCCCACCGATGGTAGTTTAAGGGTCGAACTTTTTAGCTCGACTAAGGTTCTTATGGACCATGTCAAAAGTCTCCAGAACTTGATTGGAGTGACCTTCGTTGTGGAGAGACGTGGTTGAAGGTGTCCAGTGTCGCTTATGGCTCTGAATTTGCTGCTTCTAGATCCATGGGTTGAGAATGCTTGACATGCTCTCTCTCTCTCTATGTATATACGCACACCATATGTAATTAAATATAGAAGGTTTGAGGGGCTGTGTAGGTGTCTACATCCCAAACACCCATCTCCCTAAAAGCAGTCCTTCAAGCAGGCAATTCCTCTGCTAAATCCAGCAGTGTGCTAGCGATTCTATGCAGTCGATTCTTAGAACGCCCCCCGGAAACTCTCCGGGGCCTCCCTACACAGTTGTTTTGCCCTTGAAGTGGTCCCCGCCAAGTGATCGTGCTGCGAGTTTGTCTTGCTCCTTTTCTCCAGATCTGGCCACCCAGACGAAAGGCACAGTAACCGAATCAAAAAATTATCCTTTCAATTTTTCTGTCAGCGCATCTTTGGTCAGTGAATTCTTCATAGCACAAACCCAGCGGATGCGTCAGTCATGATGTGCTGCAACACCAGCCTAGTTCTGAATCTCCAAAACAAATAACTAGAGGAGGCACCACCGAATCGACCGTCCAAAAGAATGACAATACCTCAACATACCTCGACCCCAAAAAGTCACCCAGAAAAAGAATCCTGCAGCTTTGGTTGTCCTCCAATCCTTTAAGAAGATCCATCCCATTGGATCCCCCATCGCCTCTCCCGGCGCCTCGCTGGAGAGCGAACTGGAGCTCAGGTCGGGCGCCCGCGCGGGCTGGGCGGGCGCGGAGGGGCCTCGGCGGGCTGGGCATCGGTGGAAGCTCCGAGCCGAGTGAAATCCAGCGTTCTTCGTTCCTCCAACCACACAGTTCAATAGAGATGTCCCTCCATCCCGGGTCAGAAGTGCAAAGCAGTTTGAAAGAGGTGTTGATTCAAAAGGCCCTGGATTCTAGACAGCCCTCTTGAACAAGAAGAAGCCAAATTGTATATCGTTCGTCGTTTGGCCAAGGAAACCGGCAAAGCGATCACAGCAAAGGATGTTCCGAACTACTTGGGATTGGGGGGGGATGTTCAGCTGCCAGCACGCGGTGTGGGATGTTCTGCCGCGTTCGGGTTACAATTGGCTGCCCATAGGGAAGTGGCAGGCTCTGCGCTGCATCACAGGTTCAGGCAAAATTGTATGTAATAAAATGCAGACAAGTCAGGCACTTGCTGAATCTTCAGAACCTATGGGTATTCCCCAAGACTACGAAAGGATTCCCCAAGACTTTCGTTTCGCGAGGTGCCCTAAAATCCCACAGTGACTTAAGAGAAACAAATTAATACATACCAGGACCTTTCAACAGGTGGATTTTGGACACCCCGAATCACCTCTAAGAGGTTATTTATAGACACCTCTTGGAAGGTCCTAGTATATATAGAGAGATGTACATAAATACCACTAGTAATTTTAATTTGATTCTAATTCTAATTTATATACTGTTTCTACTAGCTTCGTGTTACGTACTACTAGTAAGGCACTTGTTACTAGAAGCGATGCACTTGTTCCTAGTAGCGAACCTCAAAACCTGCTGCTCCACTGGTCACAGGGAGTGTCGCTCCGTGGCTCCCGACCGGGGGCCGCGCGCACGCTTTGCACCGGCTTGGCGAAGGTCAAGGCTGAGCCATCCGGCCTGCGGAAGTTCCCACCGGCCTGGGGAGGCCTTCATAGTATGTGACTTAAACTTCCAGGATCTTGTCCAGGATCTTACAGGATCATAGTAGTTCGCCCAGATCTTGTTTGCCGAAAGACTTCAAGGAAACATGTAGTTCTCCCTGTCGGCGGGCACCTGTCGGCCTTGTTCAGCACTTATGAGGGCCCTATTGTGGTCCAATGATGTCCACGGTTGGTACTTTGGCACCACATACATGTTGGCACATTTTAAGGGATATCCCCTCTATTGATTGACCAATAGTGAAAGAGTATCTATGTGACTGTCTGTTGTGGCAGATCTTAAGGAACAAAAAGGTCAGCCAGCTGCCACCAAAACAAAATCAACCACGTGCGACGAAGGAGTTTCCATGTTCGATGTAACCAAACACACGCATATATGTAATATATATATATATACCTTAATTATAAGTATATTTGTGAATGTGAATAAGACTCATGAGGCTGTGATGACATGAGCGACTGGGGAAGGAGAAACCACTTCCATGTGATGTGTGTATCGCAGTCGGAGTGCACCATACAGTGACACATCATAGCTACCTTAGTGACACCTAGGAGCAAGGACGCTACTCTTCCGGTCACCCAAAGGGGCGGCTATCGCTGCGCACCTGCCAGGACCAGTGGCCTTGCAAACGGACGAGTGGCCTGTCCCTCCCAGAATTGAAGTGGAAAACCACTGGTGGGTTGGCAAAACCGGCATGGAAAACCATGCTTTCGACGTGTTCGACAAAACGTGACATATCATGGCATATTTTTTGCAAATGGTCATGCTTTCGGGGTCATGCCGTCCCCACAACCTGATTCAACGAGGAGTTGTGAATGTAGACTGGTTCGACCACACCTGTGCACACCCGCGGGGGAAAGATGTGAAGAACGTGGCGGATTGCCGTGGCTGAGCAAAGCGTTGGGTCTTCGGCGTGTGGATGGTGGATTGGACCATCCAGGTAGGTAGGACCCTCAACTTTGCAGGTGTTTGCGTGGTCAGAGTCAATGAATGTCAATGACGGGTAGGCAAAACATCACTGAAAAAAAAGCCAAGAACCCCCAAACGTCGAAGATGTGACCACGACAGGTTTTCCGTGACACTTGTTTGATCCTTTGTTTCCATTGTTTGATCCTTTATTTACTTTCCTACGGTATCAACTGCTGCTTAGGGGTGTCTCACTGCGCCAGTTTATGCGCCGCATCAATCAGTCTGCGAATGAGACAGCCGATGCCAATTCGACCCTCAGTGAAAATCAATAATTAGGCCAAGAATCATCTGTTGGTGAAAAAGCAGTACGTAGCAAAAGCTGTTTGTAAGTGAGGCGGCCGAGCCCACTTGGCCCCAAGTATTCCATTCCCGCCACTCGCAAAGAACACAGGGTGAAATGATCAAAGTGCCCAAAAAAAAGTTCCAAGAAAAGAAATTACCCTGACACTTCAATGGCACCCAATCCTTCTGCCAAAATCCTTAGGACGGTAGAAACTCAAACTGAGGGCGATATACGGTGCAAGCATACCCACCAAAACCTGCCAAACTGGCACGAGAGTCTCGCCAAACGAGTCAGCCTCGCCTCCGTGGTGCCTAGGCCGTGGTGCCGAGGGTCCGAAGGGGTTGAACCAAGGTCCAGAGCTCTTGCAACTCTCAAATTGGATCCCTCTCTGTGTGTGTGTCACCTAAAGGGGTCATACTCATATCAAGTCCTGTTCGGTTGGTGATCATTTGGGCATATGTTGACGAAGGACTCGACGGTTGATGGGCTAAAGAGAATCCGTGCGTGGTATTTACTCGACTGTCAACTGCACTGGAGCCCATCATTGTCAACTCCACTCCGAGGCTGCCATACCATCATTGGTCTTCCTGGACGACAAACATGCAAGTGGAACAAACCTACCAAGTTATTCTCTTTTTGGGAGGTTGAAGAGCACACATCCCGCTGCTGGTTGGAGGATGGGCACCACTAAACAAAGGGAACCAGGTTTCTAGCTTGAAAGGTCTTCTCTTCGCAACTGTCTCAAAACCTATTTCTTTGGATAGTTTCTGTCAACGTCTGTCAACAACTTGCTGGCCACCAACCAAAAGGGTTTTCCGGTTTTTGTCCTGCTGCCCATTCCTACGATCCACGCCATTTGCGTCAGTTTGGTTGACCCAAATTCAAGTCCAAGTGGCTGGAGGTAGGCAAAGGAGGAGGAAACTGGCCTCAGCAAACAAAGGCCAGCAAAGGGCCCCAAGGTCATCAACGCCCCATCTGAGGCTGTTCACAAAACAACCGCAGCTTACGACTGACCGTGGTTGATCATGCCTAGACCTAAATGGGCATGTCATGTCTCTAATTTAAAGCTATCGCTTGCTATGGCGAGATAATTCTCCTATAGAACTAGAACTCCTACTTCTCCTACAGGTGTTTGCATCCAAAGCCAGCAATCCCCCCCAGCTCTCCTTAAAGTCCATGCTAGGGAACTCGTCCCAAAGCCCTAGAACTGGGTTGCAAGCGGCGTGACCCCAGTCAAAACCTGTCCAAGGTGAATCTGTAAATTCCCCTTCCCCTTCCATCCTACCATCCCCTTCCTCCGCGCTGAATTTTCACACCTCATCTGCACAGTAGTTCTCCCTCTCCCTTGCCAAGGCCTCCTGATGGCACTTCACCTCCTGCAGGATTGGTGCTTGGCCGGAACCTGCCAAATCTCTCTCCCTAGTTTTTACGGAGTGATAGCACTTCCCCAAGAATTCCATGATTGCCAGAATGCCAGAATTGGTAAAACAAAATTGCACAAATGAATCGAAATTCTGCTTGATTTCAGGGAGGATGTGCTGGATAGGAACTATCCAGAAGCCATAACGTATCATCTCCAAACACAGTGGTCGGCTCCAGAAAGAAAAATCACACATATCAAACCTCACCTACTTCTCAAATGTCAACTCACGTTAGCTCCTCCTCTCCCAGCGCTCTTCGCGGCTCCATCTCCACGTCGAAGGCCCCACGCCGGGCGTCGTAGCGCCCGGCCGCCACCGTGGCGCTCTCGCGGCGACGCAGCGGCCGCGAGCGCGCCACGTCCGCGCGGACGTAGCGCAGCGCGAGGCCCACGCGCCGGGTGGAGGTTAAGTTGGGACCAGACCAGTGGAGGGTGCGGAAGGTGTGAAGACTGGCCTTGGAAGGCACTGCGAAGTGAATGGGGTTGAGGCGGTTGAGGAAGGTGTTGAAATGGACGGAGTTGAATTCATGTTCACTCCTAACAAGGAACAACACACACATACAATCAGCATGCTCAAGGACCCTGCGTCTAGAACTGCCTAGGTTCCATAATGTTGGAAAGTGACCTCGTCCCTGCATCCAGGTTATCCGAAATCATCTCCAAGTGCCTATAGATAATTGATGTTGAATCTATGGTTTGAAAGCAAGAAAGAAAGAAACAACAACTGTTGTTTGTGCTCCAACCAGTGAGGTTCTGGGAGTCAGTTGTGGGGCTTTAGCGTCGTTAGCTACCAAACACCCACCGGTAATTAGTTAGTAGCAGGAGAAGTGATTCGTAGTCGATTCTTGGCATATATAAAGCACCCCACGCCTGAAGAGGTTTACAATCCAAACGAGCGGCTATTTACTTCTCAAAGAGTCTACATTACACTCAGCTTTTTGGTGAAGTACTGCGGGATCCGTACGCTTTCTTTTCATGCAGTTCGGCTATGAACTTGTCCTATTACAAAAATCGATCAATCCTCGAGATGAATGTCCATGAAGTTGACCGTCTAAGAGCTCTATTGGGAGAACTCACGAAATACATTCTCAAGACATTCATTCAGGAAATTGGCTTCATGAACTGAAGAAATGCTTCGGAGTGCGTTTTCAAGCCACACCCGTGGCCCAGCTGGAGCACCTCCGATCCCTCCGAGTCACCTCTCCAGCCTTCAGTTCCACTGGCACGGCTTCGTCTGAATCGAAGACCTGGTTCGCCTGACCGGGCCCAGCCGGTCGTGCGGCCGGCTGACGCCGGTCGTAGCCGGTCGGAGCCGAGCTGCTCTGCGGATCTCTGCGGTTCGTTTTCCCCCCGGCGGTGAACCTTTCGCGTGTTTTTTGGGTGGATCTATGGTCTTCAAGTAGTTTTTGGACAGCGAGCCCAGTAAGTCCGCGCCTCTTCACACTTGAAGCCGATCAAGTTCTGAGCCTCCCCATCCACGATGTGAGGCAGTTGGCCCCTGGCGATCAGAATGCGTGAGGCTCGAAAGGTGGATTCACTCTCCCACTGCATATGTTATCATGGTCATCTCGAAGTACTGAACCCTCCCCTCAGCGTGTTGGAAGCCATTTGACCAACCCTCCCCTTCAATGCTCTTGCGGTCATATAATTAATATAGCACATGCCTCAAGCTTCAATTTGACTTCATTGGCTGCAGGCAAAGAAACCAACACTGACACCGCCCAATAGTTACAAAAGACAGCAAACAAGCATTCCATCAAAAACATGACACTTCCTCAAAGGCCCACAGGCAGGATCAAAAGACACATTATCACATCCTACCATCTATGGCAATCATTGGCATTAGTATGTACAGTAGCCATGTTGTACAATACTCTCCTTCTGCCCCTTCTCTGTCAGATGCCTCGTGCCCCGCCTCAGATGCGACCCGCGCTGGAAGAATAAGCCTCCCATCTCCGCTGTGGCGTCCGTCAGCGCCACGAAGACGCTGCACACCGCATCGTTGGGCCACAGCGATGCGAAAATCCCATCCTCACCGGAGCGTGGACGGCAAGGTTGGACGAAGGTGAGGTCATCTGCATACTGAGATTGATTGGATATGATTGGGTGATTAATAGATTATAGTAATTATATGTAATTATGTCATTAAAATCAGCCACCGACTTTTTGGATGTATATTTGGATATGATTGAATGGAAAAGGATGTGAGTGCCTGGGATGGGACTCCCCTGGCGCACACCGGTGTGGGCGCTTGTTCTGTTCGGTTCTTGGTAATGGTGTGAGGCATGGTGTGCTTCGGCTGGATGGTTTTATGTTATTTCCTGTCCCGGAGGTGTGAACTCAAACACTAGGGGTGGTATTCTTTTTCCACTGAAATCCAATGCCTCTCCTGATGTGGAGCCGCATGGCATTTGGACATCGGCGCTTTAGCATTCACCTGGCGTCGCGGCATTCAACTACCTGTGGGTTTGGGGTCATCACGCAAATTGGATAAAATCAATAAGATGAAAGACAACATTGGGATCAACAGGATGCCATTTCACATGCTATAGACCAACGACGAAAAACATGCAGATGCGACCAAGACCTCTTAGCAAATTTGTGACCGCCGCCTGCCTGTTAAAGCACGATTGGCCCATGCAAAAACACACCCACAAAGAAGCAAGAAAAACCCGCCATCCTGCCATCCATCCCATCCTCCCCAGAAGCCCCGCCTCCGAGAACCAAAGTAACACGTCCTGCGTGCCCAAGGCCTTTTGCACCGCCGACACTAAAACCGGGTGCCGCACCAAGCGAGCGGCCCAGGGATACAGCAAATGCCTGAGGAGCAAATGCCTGGTTCGGTTCACCAAGTTCTGAGCGGAAGAACAGTTGAGCGCAGGTGGGGAGGATCTTCCGACCCAAATGCTCATCCAATCTCGCCCTCTTTTGCAAAACCTGTTCCCATGCCAAAGGACATCCAGCCCAAAGGTCCCACAACAGCCGACACATGTCCGTCAAAAACCGCGAATTCGACATGGACGACACATGTCCAAGGCACACTTTGAAGCGCTGCTCTCCCTGCAGATCTTCCACCTTTGCTCCGCTTCCGATGACCTGCTGTGCGTGAGCATCCAGCTGCTCCAGTACCTCTTGAGCTTCCCATGGCTGGAGCACCAGCAGTGGCGCCCAGAAACCTTCCAACGCCAGGTGCCACCTCGGTGGCGAGAAGCCGTAGACGTTTCCCAACACCTGGAACACCAAACACCCCTGACAGATCCCTCGTTCTGGCGGTGGTTTTCAGATGTTTTCAGTGAAGAAGGTATAACCCCCAACTCGCAGTTATCAAGTTCATTTTCTGTAGCCACTCTGTCCATTTGCACCACATCTCAATCTTGTGTTGTGTGTTGCTGTTTGAGTAGGGGTCGCCTCAGGGAGGATAGATAGATAGCAAAGGTTGGTCATTTTCCACTGTAGTTCGCCGGCCAAAGCATAAACATGGTCAAAAAGTTGATCAGCACTTCTTCGGGTGACCCCAATGGCAGCCGGAACTCCTTGCCAGCTCCCAAAGTGGGGCCGGAACTCGTTTGGCACAGCCTCCGGCGTTTGGCACAGCAGCGAAGCGTCGCCAGCGTGGCGAGTGGCGCGGGGTTCGGAAGCTGAGCCGTGACCAGAAGGAGGCGATCATCAAAGTGGAGATAGCGTTCGCCTGAAGGAGCGACTGTCCCGGCGTTCGCCAGAAGAACATCAGGCTCGGAAGACACGGCGAATCCTCGTCGGAGTCGGTCGGTTTCAACACGCCGACTTTTAGGCCGAAAAAGAGGCCCGGCCCAGGCAAAGCATCGTTATTTTTCCCGAGAAAAGCCACAACCTTCCAACTCTTGACCCGAAACTATTTCCAATTTGCCAACCTCTTCTGCAGCGCCTCTCTAGTCACTACCAGACATTACCAAACATTACCAAACAACAAGTCTTGGTTTCGCCTGTTGTGTAAGAGAGGCTGGGTTGCACTTGGGCCCTTGTTCAAGCTTCATCCACGAACCGTGTGGTATCCATCAGCCTTGAACTGCAAGCCCTTGAAATGGTGCTGGAGAAACTTCATGATTCATTACAGTAACAATCTCAACATGAGTTGCAGCTGGGTGCATCGCAACCGCCGCAAGGTTTTGCTTCATCAGGGTTCGGGAACAAGTGATCTTCAAGAAGTCAGTGCAAACGCAGCACCAACATGAACAGAATTGACCACACATCTTTTCTGGATGCCCCCCTTTCTTTTGAATGTAGTCATCCAACCGAAGTCGATGCGACAGGAGTTCGGCCGGTCGCCCTCGGGATCTGCCATCGTGCTCCGCTGGCGTCCGTGCTCGGGGAAGAGCTTCTCCTGCGGCGAAGGTGCGGATCACGGACCCAGCAAAAAGCTCTAAATGTATGGACCTTCCAAGAGGTGTCTATAAATAGCCTCTTAGTTTATATATGCAACACAAACATCCATTAGAATCCATGAATGTGAATATGATTCAATTGGATGGTTGTATTTGACACATGGAAGTAGAACATGGGCGAGATGACATCTATAGACCTCATGCGAGGCCTACTCGCAAGGCCGCTCCCCGATTCACTCTGCTGGTCATGCCAGAATCTCAAGAAGGGGTCTCTACTCCCGCCTGCCAAATGGCGAGGTTCCTAGGGTCCAACGGTGCAACTATAACCAAAGAAGACCAGTCAGTCATGGCGGCTCGCTCTGGAGGAGCATATAAGGGGTCGTTGAGTCAGACTCGCAGGTTCTACCTGACCCGGAGCGCTCCAGCACGTTGAGCCAAGCGGTCCACGTGATTTCGCAAGGATAACAGCACACTCGCACCTGGAGCAGCTCAAAGCCTGCCTCATGTGCCGAGACCAGGGGGGGGTGACATGGGGAATTCGACCGAGTCTCCCCACTTGCACCGGTCCAAGCTTTCAACAACTCGATGTGGACCTTCCTAGACCAGCGTGGGCTCATGTGGGCTCTCTAAGCGTCCAGCCGATACAAAAGCTGAAAACCTAGGCTTGGCTTGGACCTATCGATTCATGACATTTACATTGCCCTCATGATGGATCACGTGTGCTCGGTGTATTGGGGGCAAATAAGCCAAAGTCCAAAGCCAATCTGCTTCCAAAACCCCAACCAAGTTCCTGTTCTGCACCCATTGGCCATCCAAAAAAACCAACAGTGATCTTCATAGTCTACGGCGACCAGTACTACGGCAACAAAAACATGAGCACATTACATCTCTGTAATGAATTGTTATGAATTGTTAATATATATATATATATGTAAGATGCACTAGGATGTGGCGAAGTGATCCAACACATTCTGCCCAGAGGCATCCAGAAAGTTCTTGCAAAGCCTCTCTTCAGATTGAGGTGACCATCTCACTGGGCGAGAAGCGGCTGGCCAATCAACCGCCCGCCAAGGGCGGGCGGCAGCCACCACGCGGCCACCATTGGCCATGCGTTGCCTGTTGAACGTGCGGAGAGATGAATCTAGGGAAGCTTTTGCATTGTTGAATGGAAACGCTCGCAGTGTCCCAAACATAACAACCAGAAACCTAAGGGATAAACAAAAAACAATCGGAACTTGACTGACGTTGAAGAAATTCCCCAAATCCCCCTCATCCACGGTTTAGTTTAGTGTTATTTCTCCAAGCCCCTATCGTTCGGGTATGCTTTTCGACCGACTGACTAGGGTCACAGCAGCGATTGCCATTCCAAGAGGTTTATCAGACCACCAGTTTCCCAACCCATTTGTTTTTCCTGTGCTCCGTACAGGTCAAAACTTCAATATAGTTACTTCCAGCCCTCGCCAGGGAGGAGGATCTCTGAAACACATCCAGCTCAGTCCGTTAAGGATCATTTTGGAACACAGGCACGCATGCCGAAGGTCTAACTGTCCAACTCTTTGCCACGAATTCAGAAGCTCCTTCCTTCTCCAAATGTTACCCTCGGGCTTTAGGTTTGCAATGCTTTCTCAGGGCGTTCACGCCCCAGACATTCAATTTCGCGGAACACCACCCACATGCACTCTATGTTAAAATATGACAAGCCACACACACACATCCACACACCAAAAGACTAACACGCCGGGCATGCTTCATTGGGAATGGCGCCGTCCTTCTCTAAATTGTCCAATTCGCTTGGGTGGTCGCAAAGGCATGCTACACCACACGGGAATGGTTCCTTCCTCCTCTAAATTTTACTCTTGGGGAGATCAATAGGTCTACGTTGGAATAGCTCCTTCCTCCTCTAAGGTCCCCGCACGGGTGGGAGTCACAAAAGGTATGCTCCATTGAAAAGGCACCTTCCTCGTCTAGATTTTAGCCTTAGATTCGTCCTGGATGGACACGAAAGAAAAAACAAACAAAAAAATCCGACAGAGACCAAACAAATAACAAACAGTGAGACTTTCGAAACTACAGAAATGGCACATCAGAAGAACCAGAGGCGAGAAAAGTGAAAAACCACAACTCAGACTACCACAAGAAAGATCAAGAAAAACCTAAAAAAACAGCCAAACAGCACGACCAAGACCAAAAGAGCTATATAATACTATATAGGAACCGCACATCAGAAGAATCAGAGAAAAAGCAAAACAAGTTTACATATGTTAACACAAAATGCAACCCAGACTAGAAAAAGAAAACGCTGCACAGCAGAAGAAGCAGAAACCCCCCCCCAAAAAAAAAAGACACCAGGTAGACTGCCACGCGATAAAAACAAAAAGAACACGACCAACACCAACAAAAAAACATCGACACCCCCCCAGCAGAAGAACTAGGATAAACAAACATGCAAAACCACCACGCAGATTACCACGAAAGAGAAAAAAAACAACCTCAGGACTAGAAAAAACAAAAGAAGCTGCACACCAAAAGAAGCAGGAAAACCAAAAACTAGAATAGCCAAAGAAAATAGCTGAGAACAAACAGCCATGACCAACACCAGGAAAAAGAACACATAGAAACCACACATCAGAGAAAAAACACGCAAACTACAAGTCGTGAGAAACAACATGAACAAAAAACAATAAAGGACCATGACCAACACAGAAAAAAATGAACGCAGAAACCACACATCAAAAGAACAAGACAAAGTATAATAGGCATAAACGAACACGCGTTCCAAAAACGATCCCCCCCCAAAAAAAAACCGCCTTCCAAAAACAAACCTAACCTTCCCGAGATGCCATCTCATCCAAACTCCTGCCTCAACTGCCGCAGTTGCCCGACGCTCGGCTCCCAGCAGATCGTTTTCGCCCAAGCGCCGCCGTCACCGCCGGCCGCGGACGACAGCGCCTGCGCCGCCGGACGCACGGCGTCAACGGCACCCGCAGCAGCAACGGGCGCGGCAGCAACGTGATCACCGCGGCGAAGCTCCAGAGCCTCACGGGTGGCTGCGATCTGCTTAAGGATGAGGCTTTGACACGGCTTGACTCGCTTTTTTGCGCCAATGGACCAATGTTGAAAAGCGTTTCTTTTAAAGAAACGATCATATCATGTTCCACGGATGTTTCAGACTTGAGGCTCCAAAGTCCCTTTCAAGTGGAGAATGGCCTTCCGCCATTTGTTGACCCGTGTTCAACCACCTCCATGGTTTCACAATCTTCCACTCTTGCTGGAAACACTTAATTGTTCCCCTTCATATCTTTCATTGCCTTCCGTCATTCTCATGATTTTCTGAGAGAATGCCAAACAAATCCAAACAATGTCAAACACATGTGGCATGTCAAAAACCGTCTTCACATGCTTGTAGAGGAGCAACGCATGCCACCATGCCATCCACATCCATGTCGTGTGCCCCTTGGAGTGTCATGTTCGTTGTTCTTGTTCAGAATCACTGTGCAACTCAGCTCCCCCGACCGTCATCGCGACCAGTAGAAACTCCGCTCTGCCCCGAAACGCCTGTGCCAGCTCTGCTAGCTGCCAGTGCCAGTGACCAGCACTGATAAAGTTCCCAAGACCTGTGGTGGTTGGCATCCAGCGAGGAGAAGGTAATTTTAACGCAGTACAATGTGGACAAGTGAGTAGGGGATAGAACCTGTTGACCTTGCAGAAAGAATGGCACCTGCTAGGGATTTGTGCTTCGTTTTGCTTGGCCAAGTATATCATGAATCATGTGTTCAAATGATTTTTGTCAAGCTTGATGTCGCTTTGCAGTCTAGAGTGCCTCCGAATGATGCCTGGACCCAATGCCTTGGGTGGAATCCACTAGACGTTTGGACCCCTGCTTGGTCCAACAGCTATTGAAGCCATCTGAAGTTACTCGGAGCTGGGCCACCGACCTGGTGCCCAAACCGGGTTGCCAGCTCCCGGACTCTCCATGGCAGGTCACCCGCGAGGAACATGGGTCGCATGCGAAAGGGGCTCTGAAGCGTGCATAGTTGTCTAGTTCATATTTATTCAGCGTATTTGTTCTTTTCGCATGGCACGGGCGAAAAGGAAACGCTTGTCTTTTTTTCTGGGAATGCAATGGCTGATCGTCTCTTCGCTTTACCCTTGGCTTGTCTGGCTTGGTTCCCATCTTGGCAGCATGTCCATCTGGTTGTCGGGCTGTTCATCTCAGGTGATATGAGGATTTGGCGTCCATGGGTCAAGGTGCTTTCGCTCTTTATAGGCCGGGCTTCTGTAAGCACAACCTCCCTCCACTTCTTAGAATTATAATGAATAATGACTTCATAACTATAGTTATTTTGCCAAAAAATAACTATATATCATATATCTTGAAACATTGAACATCCATTTGACTTGAGCGGTGTGCTGCCCTTGCAGTGAAAACATGTGTCTTTTCCCGGGCTCTTGAGCACGCGGCTGAGAGTGGAGAGAAACACCTTGCAGTTGGAGGAAGAAACCCAAGCAAATGCCGTGTTTTTCTCCATGTCGGTCCGTCACTGGCACATCTACCTTCAGTAGAAACATGTAAAAACGGTTGGACATGTATGTCATATGAGGTTGTTTCTGGCAGTTTGGGTTCAAAAACACGTGTGAGTGCCATAGCAGCTCAATAGCATGCAATAGCCCTAGGTGGCCCCAGCAGAACCCACAGCCTCGCAGTGGGCTCGAAAACTCTTCGACCAAATGTTTCACCAAAGGCCACCGCGGAATCAGAGTCTGAATGGTGGCAAGGTTACCCAAAACCCACCCCCGAGCAAACAGTAACCGATATAGTAACCGTATCCCTACAGTATGGCTACCACATCAAAAGCAGGCGGCCTCTTGCAGGTCACGGCTGGCCACTGGTGAAAAGCAAATCACCCCTCGAGAATGCTGAAATAATCGAAAGTTCCAACTCCAGAATGACTCAATCACAGCCATGTCTTCCCTGTCCCGGCCAACACTGAACCGATTTTGGCTCCCCCAACCCTCCGCGTCCACCGGCAAGGGTGGCGGATCTTGTCTCGGTGGCTCTGGCGTCACCGTCCTCTCCTCAGCCGATGTGAGGCGCGCGCGTTTCAGGCGGCGGTGACGTGTGGCGGGATTTCCAGAGCTGCTCAGAGCACAGCTGGTGCTTAGAGCACAGGCACCAGAGTCACGTCGTTTTAGATGTTTGTATCCATCCTCATCTTCGATTCCCCCGTGACAGGGCGCCAAAAAGAGATTTCAAGTGAATTCACACCAACGTGTGGCACTCAAAGCGTGAGTGTTTTGTTGTTGTTGATCGTTTGCGTGGTGTTTTTGATTGTTGTTTCAGGTGGTCAACAACGGTGTTGTGTTTCTAGTCATTTGCATCGTGTTTCTACATGGCACGTTGTTCGTAAGTGTTTGGGCATCACCCCCCATTTCCAGTACGGTGTCCACATAATGAAGGCATTCCTCATTCCTCAATCACTTTTGTGTCACTTGAGCCAAAGAAACAACGGAACACTAATTGGCACTCAAAAAAAGGTGACCGTTTGAGGTTCCAAACCCAGATGTTTGCATAGACGCCCTGAATCATCTGAGGATGCTCTCCGCAAAATTCCTGAGTTCTGGGCACGCCGTGCTTGGCCATTCTCCTGCAGGCAATTAGATACGTCCGGCAATTAAATACATCAACGGCAAGAAGCGGTTAAACATGGTTAAACAATGTTCAACACAGCATGAAGGCTCCCACAGGCTGAAAGGCTGAATCATCATCTTTTGGGGCGCCCCCACACACACACAACACCAAAAGCATGGACCGAAACCTGTCCAGGAATGCTCCACAAACCCCTGATTTCCGGCATGTTCCTTGGCTTTTCGCTCGGCGGCCCGGTCTTGTCGCGCATCTCTGGACCGGTCCTCAGGAAGGAACTTTGTCAAGAAATGTGGTGTGCTCTCACCTGCTAAAGTATAAAATTCCTACCTAATATAAAAACTTTGTATGAGGACCCACTGCAGATGCAAATGCACGAAGTCAGTTGAGAAGGAACCCAAAGGGGTCAGGGCTCGTCCAAGCGCTTGGGACCGTTGGGTCCGAAGGCAACGCCCGAGCGGGTTGGTGTCGGGCCAGTGTGATCAATGTGGGCTGTGAACACAGCTTGAGGTGGTGCAGAACTTGCACATGAACTGTGCCACCGCCGTGCTTCTCTCTGACTCTTCCAAAAGTCCAGATTCCTTATGAGACACCAAACCCAAGTGGTCAAATGACTGCACAAAGCAACTCAAACACCAAACATCACCAAACCCAGCCGCGGGTTCCGCCAGGGCTCCCGGGAGCGTCGCTCGACCCGCCGGTCTTGGCCGCTCGAGCGCTTCCGGGAGCGGCGCCGCGAGGGGCTCGAGCGCTTCCGGGATCGCTCCCGCGATCGGTGGCCTCGGCCGTCCGTGTCGTGTTCTTTTTCTCGAGGCTTCCAAGGCCATTTTTGCGGGGGCGTTTTTGCGGGGGGACCTTAAAATGTTCGTGCGGCATCTTCCGTCTGGAAAGGTCTATGTGTCTTTGGGCATCTGACCCGGCCGGTTTGCTGGAAGACCCGGCCAGTGGTACCCTCAGTGATATACAGTCGACCCAGCCCAATGACTTTTCCAGTCACACAGTCATCCGAAATGATTTGGATTTTTTTCCGGTTGTAGGCTGGTTCAATCATTGGGGATTGGTGCTCAAAAGCAACGCCACGAGCAAGACACAAAGCAAATGCATCTGATTGTTGTCAACTGCTGGAGTTGCAATACTACAATAAATTTACTATAGGGATTCAGAACAGGTGGCATCAGGTGGCCAAACCTGGAAAGAATCGAAAAACAACATTGATAATTCTACACATGCTACATCATTTTGCTACTTGTATACCAGAGAAGGGAGGGACGAAAGCCCTCCTCTGGCTTAGGGGGGTGCTCCTCAGGGTAGGCCCGGGCAAAGACTTGGCATGCAAGAGGAAGTGATGGGGTAACATCGGGCAAAGATTAATTTCATGGGGCGAAGTTGACATCGCAGCCACACTGATAGGGGGTAGAAATGGAAAGTAGAAAACATAGGTCTGGGGGGGGAGGGTGCCCTTTTTCGCCCCGGTTCAGGGAGGATTTGGAGGTGAAAAAGGGCACCCCTCAGGAACGCGCTTGTCGGCGGCGTGTTGCGAATCAGTGAATAGAGATGGCGATGGGGGTTCATGTGCGAGGCAAAGGATAGGGTAGGCGAGGAGATATGCTATGGGCACCCCTGAGCTATTCAGGACCTTCTGTCTCCCCTAAGCTATTCAGGACCTTCTGTCTCCAACGCTTGCCCGCTGCAATCTCTTCTCTCTCCTGCCCCCAACAACCCCCAATCTACGTGAACTCCCACCGCATAGGGGGTGCCCTCTTTAGTGCGGTTCTCTCGCAGGCCCTCAACACATGGCAGCATGCACCCCATATGCGGTGCCCTTTTGAGTCCAATAACTAGACCTTCCACGGAGAAAAAAAGAGCACCCCTAAGCAATTCAAAAACTTTCTGCCTCCAAGGCTTACCCGGTGCAATCTCTTCTCTCTCCTGCCCTCCACCACGCAACCCAACAACTCCAAATCGTCTGCCTCCAGCGACCAAGAATGGCGGGTTGTTGAAGGCCGGAGAAGAGATGGCAGCGAGCAAGCGTTGGAGGCGGAACATGGCGGAACCCTATTTCACGTGAACTCCCACCGCATAGGGAGTACCCTCTTCAATCCGACAGCAAGGCTAAGCTTAGCCGCAACTACAATCTGTTCTCTCACATGGCCTCCTGAGCCCCTCGTGATGCTGATGATGCACTCTTTGCCGTCAATTACATCACCGGCATCACAACACCCCTCAAACCATTCATTGTTCACTACCCAAGTGGCCCGCCTCTTTTTGTTGCTCTCCCCCACCAGGCTCTGGGTTCACCTCTCCGAAATGTAGCCACCACGCAACCACCCCCCCCACACCCCCTTTACTCACTTCGTTCACTCCAGCAACCTCAAGCCCAGCTTAGCGGCTGGCTTTCGTGAGATATATATATATATACAATATATAACTCGTTTTGCTACCCACTCAGGTGGCCTATGCCCCCAAGCCCCTTCGCACGCCGAGGGGCGTGAACGCCGGTCCTTCCGGTCGCGGCTCTTGTGCCGGTCCTTCGTGTCCGAGCGCCGAGCACGCCGGTCGTCTTTGTCTCCTCAGTGCAGGCGCTGGGCGATGTGTTTAGTACTGATGTGATTCTGAGGGGCTCGGGATGTAGCCCGGGGCTAGGTTTTGGGTGAGTTTAGCACACTGAGAATCTGAAGGCCTTATTGCCTCATGGCCTCATAGCAACCCTTGCGACTGTTCGACATGGGGCACTCCCTCATCTACAGTTCCCGTATGTATTCAAGGACCGCTTCAGAAGTAGTGGGCTCGAGTGAACTTTGTCCGAGACATTCCGAGACAAAGATCAATAAAGCCCAAGCATCTTTCTCTCTACTAGTAACAAGGGCATCGCTACTAGTGACAAGGGCATTACTACAAGTAGCTTGAAGCTACTAGTAACAAAGGGCATCGCTACTAGTAACAAGAAGCCCAAGCGGCTTTCTCTCTTCCTTTCATCACGCTCTCTATCCCGCTTCTTCTCATCCTCACGATGCCTCTCTTTTCTCCTTGCTTCGGAGCGGTCCTTCTCACGTCTACGTTCATCTCGTTCTTTTTCTTTCCGTCGATCCTCTTCTCGCTCTTGTCGTTTCCTTTTCTCCTCACGTTCCTTGTGCTTGCGCTTCTCCTCAGCTTCTGCTTTTTCTCGTTCTCGTTCTTTTTCTCTTCTCTTCTCTTCCTCACGTTCCTTCTCCTTTCTCTTTTCTTCCTCTTCTTTTCTTTTTACCTCCTCCCGTTCCTTTTCTTTTCTCTTTGCCTCCGCCTTTTCCTTTTCCCTTCTCCTCTCTTCCTCCTCCTGCTCCTTTTTTTTTCTCTCCTCCTCACGCTCCCTTCTCTTCTCCTCCTCCTTTTCCTTTCGTCTTTTTTCCTCCTCCGCTTCCTTTCTCCTCTTTTCCTCCTCACGCTCCTTTCGTTGTTTCTCCTCTTCCCGCTCCTTTCTCTTTCTCTCCTCATCAAGTTGTTTTCTTTTTTTCTCCTCCTCACGCTCCTTTCTCTTCATCTCCTCCTCACGTTCCTTTCTCTTTTTCTCCTCCTCACGTTCCTTTCTCTTTTTTCTCCTCCTCACGTTCTTTTCTTTTCTCCTCCTCCTCCTCCTCACGCTCCTTTCTTCTCTTCTCCTCCTCACGTTGCTTCTCTTTCCTCCTCTCCTCTTCTTTCTTCTCCTTCTTCCTCTCTTCCTCGAGTTCCTTTTCTCGCCTTTTCTCTTCTTCGGTGTCCTTCTTCTTCTTTTTGGCCTTTTCTCGTTTGGCAGCATCCTCCTTTTTGGGCTTCTCATCTTCATCCTTCTTCGACTTCTTCTTGTCCTCACAGAGCCGGAGGAACGTGACACGGAACGGTGTTCCAAAACCAAAGCCAGTCGGCTGAAGCCACGGGTTTACCCAACAGCATCCAGCAGCACTATAGCCACACTTGGTCGTCAGAGTCAAGGGTCATAGGTGCTTGGGAAACAGAAAACAATATATGACAAACATATACTGCGCCCTTCACCCAAATGAGCAAAAATCCAAACATCCAAAAACAGATCTACTGTTCGGTCTCCTCTCATGACCTACTGACCTATTTCTCATATCACCTGGCGCCTCATGACGCTTCGGTCCCCCACCATCCCACCGGCATGGCCTCCTTGGTCTCCTTTTTGGCCTTCTCCTCCTGCGAGCGGAGATGTGTTTCAGTCGGAATCCGCCGTTCATCCTGCAAAAGCCGCTGCTTTTTATAGGGCTTTGGGCAAGTACAATGCGGATAGGCACCCGACTTCCACATGTTTGACAGAAACATCACCGGGTACCATGAGGCGATGTTCCCGACCGCGCGACTAGGATGATATGCATTAAATACACGGACTTCTGCAAGGAAACGAACGACTTAACAACGCAAAGGGTGGCTGGAGCCTACTCTGTGAGTTGTATTGCCCAAGGGGTGGCTGCCCTTGCAGGCGAAAGCCTAACCACAATAGGGCCAAGGTCCTTAAAGTTCCCATTGCCCTCCCTAATCCGCAGCAAAAACCCTCAATCTTCTCTTTTTTCAGTCCCCAAGTTCCAAATCCCAGTTTTACCCCGCCTTCTTCACCTGGCGAGGCAGAACGACCATCGATTGAACTTCCAAACGTTGCTAGCTGCTAGCTTAGGTGTGTGCCTCTGTGTGTCTTTGTGTACCGCATCGGTGTGTCTCGCCTGGGGGGGAAGACTTCCAAACATGATAGATGAAGCTAGCTAGCTGCTATAGTGTCTAACAAAATCTAGCAAACACCAAGAATTTGACACGATTTACGAGTACAGTCTTTACTGTGAACTCTCTGCTCCAGAATCCTCAGAACCAACTCTGCGGTTTGTCCAAAAAGCGGCCCCTTGATCACGTCGCATGTGCTGGATGAAGTCTTCGAAGGGGCGAAGAGATTGCGAAAGTTATGAAAAAAACAACTCCCCAAAGAACCAGAGGAACATGGGAACAAGAAGTTGAGGATGTCAAACACGTCAGGAAAACTTTTTTTCTATTGTGGATGTCAATGGATGTCATAACATCTCAAAACCGTTTTGTTGACCCTCATGACATGCTTGCTCTTGCCTCCTGCAAACGCTCTGCAGGTAGACTCAGCCAACCTTTTGGGGAAACCCCTTCTAGATCCTGATCCTTTTATCACATACTCTGACTTATGAGCCTGGAATGGAGCTTCTCGTCCCCAACAGCTGAACACCACCACCTTTCGCATTTCGGTGTTCCAAAAACGACCTGCTGCCCTTCTGACCCCACGTGTCGGCCTCCTTAGGCGCAGATCGTGGGGGCCTGAACTTCGGAGCGGGGACAGTCAGCCCATCCGATCAGAATTCCCTGCCGCATCCGGCGGCAACTCCAAAAATTGCAACTCTGGTTATTTAGTGGTGAGCGTGCCACTGCATGATCTGCATGGGTATGTGCCATTTTAAGGCCAGCGAGTCAAATCAATTCCAAAAATCACAAACCACCCATAATAATGAAGCTGTAATTGGATCGAGTACAGATAGGCCTTTGGGATGTCCATACCGCGGCTTTAGCGCATTGGCATAGGTGATTATCATCATACCTGCTTGAGCACCACAAATCCTACGGCAATTCAATACCACCAGGGGTGGTCTCGACCAAACAAACCTCCATGCTCTAAAGAAACACCATGTATAGAGACATACAAAAAATCCCCACTCACCAGTTCTTTCCAAGCATCTACCCTGAGGATCCGATATTGAAAAAAAATCAATATCGCAAAAAGTTTTCAATAGTATTGAACTTGATTTTTTTAGTCGCAGGATTGTTCTTTTTCAATATTGAAGATTGAAAAAAAATCAATATTCTTGATCAACATCGACCAATACCATGATCAATATCAAGACCAATATCAATGTCAAAAGGAACTCCACAGGATCTCCACAGGATTCTAAACTCCACAGGAACTCCACAGGATCTCGACAGGATTCTAAACTCCACAGGAACTCCACAGGATCTCCACGATCAATATTGACCAATATCATGATCAATATCATGATCAATATAATGATAAATATTTGAAACCAATATTGACCAATATCATGACCAATATTATATTGATCATGATATTGATTTTTTTCAATATCGGATCCTCAGGGTACTGCTGCACTTGGGTAGGAATTCGCATGGCTTCGCACGGTTTCGCCTATGCCTACCGACTCCGGACCGCCACCGGCCACCATCGTCCCATGCTCCGAGCGACTCTCGCGAGCGTGAGCGTGTCTTGGCCTCCTCAAAAGAGCGATGCTTTCGGGTCAGCAAGGTGAGTCGAACCAAGACCGGACAACTAGTCATCCTAAGAACATTAGTGATATAGAAGGTATTAAGCTCTAAGTGCTATAGTGATATATTAAGCTCTATAAGAACATTCTATACCTTCCACCACCCAAACTCTTGGGTTTGGATTGTATACTGTCGACACACTGAAAAGGTCCTAACGCGGGCAAAATCTCCCTCATGGGGCTCTCGTATGATTGCTGAATGTCTACCTGGAATGGCTCTTGGGTCCGTGGCTGCCCTCGCTCAAATCAGGACACTGGCATACTTCGGGCTAACAAGTGGCTCTTCGGCTTCCGTGATTGCATGCCGGTCCAAGAAACGGCCCTTTTGCTGAGCAAAACATGGACAGCCTGCAAAAACATCTGAAAGAGATCCGATCCTCTCGAGCATCACATTCCAGAGAACGAGTCGAGTTGATTCAGTTGCACAGCTGGACCATACCTCGTAGGAACCACTCCAACAAATTCAAGCTGATCCTTTTTCACCAAAAGACCGCCTCCGGATCGTCCTGGGCGTGCTTGTGTGATCTAATTAGTAGGTCTTCCAACGCTTTTTCGCACACCCCGTCAGAAAACATATACCAAACAAACTCAACAAGCTGGCGCCTGCAGCAGGTGGGGCCTTCAGGAGCTGAAATGGTTCCAGAATTCTGAGTTCTTCCACACATTCTTCGGAAAACCATGTCTCCGAGAACTGATGGGGAGCCCTTGTGGATTCTATTGCGAACGCCTCCCAGGACGTCTTCCTGTCCCTGTCTCGGTTGGCGCCCCGCCTGGCGCTTTTTCTGCGCCGCTTCGGCGGCCTGGCGAGATCGCCGGTGGAGGGAGGGCAAGGACCCTGGGAATCCGAAAGCAAGACATGGAGATCATGGATGGTGGAGGCTGACTCTTTTTGGAATCATATGTCAAGGAATTTATATATAACTATATATATATTAATATATATCATGGGCGTGGGTTAAGAATGGTTAAGCGGCTAGACAGTAGGCCACAGTCGATGTGAGTGGAACAGTTGTCAGGCTAGTTGAACGGTGAGTTGCACATTCCGTCTGAACTTCTCTGGGGCATTCCCCGGGAGGATAACCCTGGACAAGCTAGATCTTTCAGTTGTAGTAAACATGCTTTCATCTCAAAGTAGTTGGACAGTAGGAAGATCATGCAACGCAGCCATTCCGGGTGACCTAACAGCACCTCCTCACCAAAACCCATCCAAAACTCCCAGTTTTCCTCAAATCCAAGTTCCTCTGGCCTTCCGACGCCTCTCCTCCTCCTTTCCTCAGTTGGGATGCCGAACCTGAATCCAAGAGGAGACTTCACTAGCCTTCTACCAATTCTGCTGCTTCTTGTTTCGAGGGATGTGATTCTTGCCAGGCATGTCCAAAAACTCATCTCGACGGCTGGACATTCAATGTCGTTGACATGGATCTGAAAGATTTCCCCATTTGCAGGGACCCGTTGACATGGGCGAAGGACGGGTCATAACATCTCTGCAGGTTCGACCACAATTGCCAGGGTGTCAGTGTTGGTCGTATTGAAATGACCTAAGAACACTATGCCTGTCGCGAGCAAGCCTAAACTTGGGTGAAGTGCCACACACGAGGCTCATCTGTGACAGGACTCCCTACAAATATTCTATATATACGCATAATCTATGTGATCCTTTCTTTTGCTACCTCACAACTGCAATCAGCCCACCATCTCTTCCTACCCTTCTTCAATCCGCCAAAGGACTTGCCAAGGCCTTCTTTGCCAAGGCCTGTTGAGTCGAAGACCACGCGGAAATTTGGCAAAAATGCGAAAAACGAAGGAGACATCTGTATACCGCCGTATACCCTGTTCATCCCTTTTCACAGCTGTTTATGGTGCAGGTCGCGGGTGATTGAGTTCAGTCGCAAGGATTTCTGGAGTGTTACCCGTCGTCTTCGTTGTCAAGGTGCTGCTGAATGACCTACTATGACCGGAACTGCATTTATAGAGCAGATCCGGAATGCCTGCACACACACACACAAAATCCGTGTTTGTTTCATCACTACGACGTCTCGAACCAACGGATGAAACTCCATGAGCTTCTTTGTCTCCTAGCAAGTGTGCGGGGTCCCCTCAGCACCTGTCCCTGCATATCCCTCCATAAGCATGGCGGCGTGGCAGCGCGAGCAGCTCGGGACTCCTGGCACGGTTCGCCCTGCTGGGATCAGCGCAGTGAAGACTGTGAAGTCTTTAAGAGCTAAAGTGTGTGGAACTGGACCTATATAGCAGCTATATTATATAGCAGTTTTACATCGTATTGCTGAGTGTTCATCCTATAGCGGAATGCTTTGTAGCACGATTCATGCCTGATTCCCCGAAAGATCTTGATGCGTCCCATACGCTTCGACATGGACGATTCACCAATCTGTTCAGAAATCGGACTGGAAACAGCCATAGTTGGACATAGAATCAACGCATACACGTGTTACACCGCAACAAGTGAAGAATAACACACGGCAGAAGTGAAGAACAAACCGGTTCAGGGCCCGATTGCACCATAGAATATTAACATGGCACCTGCAAACGAAACACCATCTTCCAAACTATATTCCGATTCCTATTCGTTCCTTTTTTGCTACTACACCCAGTAGCTTTAGTCTTTCCTGTGCGGCCAGCGTCTGGGAGACTCTCCGCTTCCAGATCCACTTGGTCCCGCCATCCGCTGAAATGCTTGCGCCATCCGCTCCTCCGATGAGGCTCCATCCTCTTCCTCCGATTCCTCCGCCTTCCGCAGAGGAACTCCGCACCGCACCGGAGTGACCTATCTGTTTCTGGTGGCCCCCAAAGAGATAGAAACGGTTTCCAATACCTTTAGAAAAGGATTTGACTGTTCTATTTATTTGGAGGTCTATATATATATATATATATGATTTCAGGGTAGTTTTTGGAGCCAAAAAACAATTGAAAACCATATACTGTGTGTTATGCCATCATGTGCCATTTGCTCATCTGAAACTCTTGAAACCATGATTTACGTAAGTCAATGGGCTTGAACGAAACACATCCTGGATAATATTATCATATTGGAGCATTGCTGTTTCTTGGCCCATGTTCATGGCCACGAACGTGTTTTTTAGTCCAATATCTACTTAAGGCATGCCGCATGGATGCTTGCTTTCCATTACCAACTTAGATCTATGGAACACTACCAATTCCATTCTTCTAAGCTAGAGTCTAGAGACCCCCAGTGTGCTGGAGAGCCTCTCTTGAAAAACGACTGGGGTCACTTCCCCGGATGACCCTACACTCTACGTCATCTGGACCTTTGACTGGGAGCTTCGTCTTGAAGCTGAAGGAGACAGGTGACACGTTGATACATTATTGGGCACCAATATAGATCCAATCACATCATTTCACATTGGACCTGGTTCTTCTGCTGCAGGCTACAACCAGTTACCTCTGCACCAGTTTTGATGTTCTTCTTAGTCTTCAGTTGCATCAAACTCAAGAAGTCTGCTGGTGGGAGGGTCCAAAAATTGTTTCAATCAAATTGGTGGAGTCCAACCTCTGCTTTCTGAGGCCATCACTTGCAAAAAAAAAACTCTGTGACTAACCCCCTGCACCTCTATGTGCAGCAGCCAAGGTAGGCTGTCATGAAAGTGATCTGCCATAAAATTTAACTAATGGAGGTGCTCAAGCTACCCCCCATCTTGTACACGAATCTCATGATTGGTAAGACGTCAAAACGAAATCAGGTGCTTGTGCGTGAAGCAATGAGTTTGAGCATCTCAAGTTCGGCGAGGTCCAGATATGTCCAGCTCAAATGGAATCAACACCTCCTGTGTGGCTAAGGAGTCCATGCTGTCCCCTCCATGCCGTCGATGCCTCGGACTCTGAAAGGCTTTCCTCCTTCTCCGCAGACTCTGACTCGACCAACTGGCGATGAGCGAGCGCTGCTGCGGTTGGACCCCAACCTGTCTCTGCAACCTGTCCTGCACTGGAAGAACAATAGAAACACTACGACTGGAGGAACCGCACCACGACCTACCAAGACATACCAAGACGAAATGTTGCTTGTCTTCAGTGGTCGCCCCAAACAAACTAGACGACGTGTGGCCAGAAAGCATTTTTCATCACGTAGGAAGTCAGAGTGTGAGTTTATCTATTAAGTGTTCAGTGTGAAGTGTTAAGTCGCGTGAGTTGAGGTAGTGTGTGGGTCTCTGTGTGTGTATCTATGTCTGCGTGTGTATGAGTCTCTCTCTGTACGCCTTTCTCAAGCGCAGGAACACCTTTTTTCTGCAAGTTCTTGACCTCTCGCAAGTCACCTCCGCGTACTGGAGTTGTACTACCAAGTCGCCAGTTCTCATCTTCCAGCTCCCCAGGTACTCCGCGTACTAGAGTGGTACTACCAAGTCGCCAGTTCTCATCTTCCAGCTCCCCAGATACTCCGCGTACTC